CAGATGTATCTAACCTAAAGAAACAATTATTTGACTTCCTGAAGTCAACAATCGATACATTTCCTCAACATGCAGGGAACAAACAAACTGGTTGTCACCTTTGAGACAATTTCTTTTAAAAACAAATTTTATCTCGCTTGAGACAATTTTCTTAAAAACAAATTGTGTCTCACTTGAGACAATTTCTCTCAAAACAAATATTGTATCACTTGAGACATTTTCTCTCATAATACAAATTTCAAAGTTGTTTTACTTGAAACAAAGTTAATCTCACTTGAGATTTTCAAAGCCGATTCATCTCGCTTGAGACAATTTCCCTTTAAAGAAAACAAATTTTGAAAATTGTTACACTAGAAACAAAGTTTATAATCTTTGAGTCTGTTTCTTTTGAAACATATCTTGTCTCCCTTTAGACAGATTCTCATAAAATACCAATCTTTGAGTTTATTTCTCTTAAAACAAACTTTGTCTTACTTGAGACAGTCTTCTTTAAGACAAATCTTTGAGTTTGTTTCTCTTGAAACAAATTTTGTCTCCCTTGAGACAGTTTCCCTTAAAACAAAATCATTTTTGAGTCGTTTCCCTTGAAATGAATTTTGTCTCTCTTGAGACAGTTTTTCTTGAAGCATCATCTTTGATTCTGTTTCCCTTGAAACATAATCCCTAAATATGGCCTGCCATCCTCATTACATAGGAACTGTGTCATCCTCCGACCAGACCTCCTCATCACGTAGGAGTTGTGTCAACCCTAGATAACAAGCCGTCCTCATCACATAGGAACCATGTTATCATCCCTAAAGATGGCCTACCATCCTCATCACGTAGGAACTATGTCATCCACCGACTAGACCTCCCGATCACGTAGGAGCCGTGTCACCCCTAGATAACCAGACGTCCTCATCACGTAGGAACCGTGTCATCCCCAACCAGATCTCCTCATTACATAAGAGTCGTGTCACCTTTAGACGACCAGAACTCTTCATCACGTAGGAGCAGTGTCATCCCCAACCACAAATACTATCAAATTTCATAACCAAAAAAGAGAACTGGACAAAAACTGGTTGTCTTTTTCATCTTTTCCATATTCTTGTTAACACAAGAATATGCAAATAGAGGCAGCTGTAGACACCCGTTTTTGTCTGGGTCTACAAAAATATTATTAATTATATTATTATGTTATTATTATTAATAATAATAACATTTTACATTGTTTTTTTTGTAGGTCCAAATATGAACCATGCCCAAAGCCATTACAAAGTAGCCTATCGGAACCTAATTACAACTGATCTGGGCCTACTCGGATCCGACCCGAGGCCCAGTAAGACCTGACCCGATTAAAATTAGGGTTTTAAAACTCTAATAGATATACAGTCGCCGCCAATGAATTTGAGTCGTCCATCGTCGGTGCGTGTGGTACACATACCCGACTCTTCAACTCCTCCAGCCAGCGCGTGAGCCACCACTGACAGCCACCATGGTCAGCAACCTACAAAACAAAAACCAAATCAATTCCAAGTTATCATCTACAATGATCCAATCACCCAAATAAAAACCCTAAATTAAAAAAAAATTATATAAACCCTAAAAATCAGGGATTTCCATCAACTCAAATGAAATCTCATTCCCCTATTGCTGATATCATCATGCCATCAACCAAGGGTGGATTATAAGCAAAACACACAGAAGAGAGACGGGATATTCAGGAACGAGAAAAAAAACATAAAAAGGAAAAAAAATCATTCAGTGGAACAAAAAGGGGAAACCGATAGGAGAAAACACAGAAAAAATAAAAAAATAAAAAAAGATTTAAACCCCAAAAGAAAAAAATTAGAGAGAAAAAATAGAGAGTTCTTACCCTTCATCTAATGGTTGTTGTCGATAACCCCATTTGAGTGATGAGAGCCTATCATCGAAGGTAAAATCTTGTACCTTTAGGGTTGGGTCTTGGTGGTTGTTCGAGTGCTTTAACCCCATGGCCACCGAGTTACGGTGGCTGGGGCTTTCGGTTGCCACATATGGTGGCCGGAGTGATGTGCTATGGTTGTGGCTGGGGAAAGTTTGAATAAACTCTCCCCCTTCTATTTTTTTAAGCGACTGAGAAGGGGTGAGGGAAAGAGAATAGGGTGTTATAGAAACTTAAAATATGTTTATATAACAACGTGCGAACGACACCGTTTGACAAGAGGGAATCTGCGTGTTTTTGTATGTGGGGTTATTAGTTATTTCAGTCCTTCCCCTTTTGTAATCTCACATATGTCATTTTAATTGTTGTGGGTTAATTACTATTGAGATCCTTCCTCATTTGTAACATTTTATTTTAGCCATTAATGAAATTTGCGATGTTTACTTCGAACCTCTATTTTTCATTTTTTTTCATTTAGGTCCTCAATTTATGTATTATGTTATGTTCGATGATATTCAAATTTGACCCTGTAATTTATGCATCTCTCATTTTAGTCACTGCCTGGTATATGGTTTAATTATTATTTAATCCTCCATGTTTCTGGTTATTTTATTTTAGTCTTTCATATTTTAAAGGTTTTTTTTTTTTAGTACATGTGTAATGTGACATTTCTATTTCTACCCTGGTGTTTACTGTTATTATTATTTAGTCAATTATTTTACTAAGCATGTTTAATTTTTTTTTGTATTTTAACATGTCATGTTTGTAAATGTGCATTTTAGTCCAAATTTATAACTTTGTTTTATCGATCGTTATAATTTCATATATATATATATATATATATATATATATATATATATATATATATATATATATGCATGTATATAAATTATGTAATTGTTATAAGCATTCTTTATATGAAAAAATTTATTTTTCTTGTTTTATTATGTGTATATTTAGATAATTATTAACACTTTTTTTATAAATCGTCATTGTTTTTTTATATACGAAAAATGAAAATTTCAATGTGAGGGAAATCTACGTAGATATCTCCCAACTAAAGGGAATGTATATTTTCGAGGATTTTTCGCATAAATGTTTTTTATATTCGATAATTTTCTTTGTTCCACGTTTATTTATTTCGAGTATTTTCACCGCTTTTCACTTTTATTTTGTTTTATTTTATTTTATCTTTGCAAAAATTACGAAATAATGTCTTTTGTGTGGGGAATCTATGGGAAAGTCTCCTAACTGCAAAGGAAGTGCATTCCCGAAGATTGTTCACACAAAAAGGCGTTTGTAATCCGAAAATTGACACTTTTTGAATAAAGTCAAATGAATAAGAATAATCGTAATTTAAATATATTTTTAAGTTTGTAGTTCTCAATCTTTAAACAACATATAATCGTTTAGGTGTCAAAATTTGGGCGTTGTGGGGATACTAACCCTTTCCACACGTAACCGACTGCCGAACTCTTAAAAACAAATCTTTGGTAAAACGTATACCATTTTTTGACGTTTAAGGTTTCCAACCTACCTAACTTAATGGTTGGTGGCGACTCCAAAATCGAATCGTTTTCGAACTTACATTTCATCGCCTTTTCTCTAAATTAATTTTTTAAGTCGAACGGATCCCCAGGTAAACGTTATGACACCTATTGCTGGTTCTCAACTTTAGGTGGAGTTAAGAGAACACTTCAACTTTCTTCTCCTTTAAGGCTACAAATACTAATAATTAAAAGAACACTTTATGGAAAAAAAAAGGATTGAATGATAAAAGTATTTAAAAATAATATTTGATAAAACAATCACTTTGAATCTTACTATTTTATTTTATTTTAAATTAAAATATTTATTTTAATAAAAATTGTTAATTAATTAACAATGTCTGGATACAGTTTTTTTTTATTAATCTAAAGTGATTATAATGTAATATTTATTCTAAAAATTATCATTGTTATCCTTGCATGCACCATTATCTACATTAATGAAATTAATTAATTAATAAAAAATACTACATTAATGAAATTAAGATTTAATTATATATTATTGTTATATAATTATTATTATTTTTCGTCCTTGCCATTGATTGGCCGTGGGGATTATGCGGTGTCGCGATTTACAGCTCTGTTCTCCGTCGAGGTCATGTGATTCGTCGGCTCCATTTCTGGTTCGTTGGCTTCTGTTCTAGTGGCTTTTCGTCGGGTAATTAGTAGTGTAGTGGAGTTGTGGTTGGGTGGAGGTTTGGTGACGGTAAAGGGAGGCGGTTGGTGTGGGTTTAGGGATTGAAATTAGGGTTTTCAAAGTTTTGTATTTTTTTAAGTTTTTAAAAAAATTTGGGTTTTTTAAAAAATATATATATAATTTTAACACATTTGTTCATGTTCGTTTATTAAATGAACATAAAAATTTCTTTCATACTCATTATTTTAGCTTAACAAACGAACATAAATGAATGTTATGCGAACGATTCACAAATTGTTCACCCACGCTTTCTTCATTTACACCCCTAAATATACATGAAGAAATGAATTTAGTGCACTTAAATACCAAATCTGGAAGTTAACATTTCATTCAATATTCATGATTTAAGACAGTTTCAATCTTGAAGCATTTTACTCTTAGTATAAATAACAAATCTTGTTTTTTGATAAGGTCAGTGCAAAACTTGAGCATTTTGATCAACAAAGTTCCTATTAAATGTTTAGACAAAGAAAGCAAGAAACCAGTAATTTACCTAAAATAAAATCATAACCCCATCTTATTTATGTTCTCAACAACTGATTGAACATCAGAAAAGAACTAAATTAATAAATTTACCACTGAAATACTAGTAATGCATACCCAAATTGACTAGAATTTGATTATACCAGTATACCAAAGTGACTAATTTTATAATGATCAATCACCATCTATCCAATCCCCCAAAACTTACAAAATTAATATACAATCCTCAAATATGCTGAGATCCTAAACTAAGGACTCAAATTTAACTATGGAAAGTATAAAAACCTATACTATGCGTGAAACTTTCTTCTTTTCTTTACACTACCATGCATTTTCCTGGAAAAATCAAATCATTCCTGGAAAAATCAAATCATTCCCAGCTAGTTTCTTGAATCCGAAATCAGCATTTTGATCAGGCAACAAAGTCTGGTAACAATTGTGCTGCAAACCTTTTCCTGTTTTGAATGCTGATGTTGCCAAATGCAGCAGCAGAAGAGTGTGGTGTGGAAGGGCTGATAGTCATAGACCCGAACTCATTGGGTTCACCAACGTCGAGCCTTCGCCCCATTTGCATGGTTTGGTTCGTGAGAAAACTGTGATGGGGGCCTGATAAAGACAGGTTTTCACAGTGGGGAAGTCCCAAAGTGAGTGAAACACCATTGCCTGAAAACCTCGGAGTGAACTGTTCTGCTTCGAACCTTCCTATTTCTCCAATGGGGTATTGTCCGAAACCTCCCATAAAATCGGTGTTGGTTCCCATAAATGCGTACCCATTTTTGCCAAACTTCACGCTGACATCATTGTTGGCCTCGGTTGTTTGCTTGAAATCCATTGGCGGCTGCAATATTTCAGTGCTCCTTGGCTTTTTTGGACTTCCTTGAGTGATCCCTTCCAGTTCGGATGATCCGATGAAGGAGAATTCGGACTGGTTGCCAATGTTTCCGGCAAGGGGAGATGTTAATGCCATGGAAATGGACATTGAGCAACCGATCTGGTTTGAGATATTGTCCTGTTTGGAACTGAAACTTTTTGCCATGTTGTCTGCACTACATTTGTCTGGTGCAGTGGATTTGGATGTTGAATCTTCATCGTTAAGGCTCTTGCTTGTTTTCTCCTTTGAACCATTTCGTTCATATTCCTTGATTTCCTCCAAATACATCTCTTCCACCATTGGCTTCCAAAGCCGAACTCGAGCATTTATGAACCAATTTGACACCTGAATTATTACAAAAGAACATCCTATGATTATACTTTTCACATTTAAAAGCTAATGGAAACAGATTATAACAGTGATGAAATTCATAATTAGACTGAATTTAGCGAGCACCTGACTTCTAGTAAGCCCTGTTTGTTTTGCAAGCATGATCTTGTCTGAATCCTTGGGGTATCTGCAATGCAAATAGAGATATCAGAATACTCTTAACTGTTGGAAAATAACAAGGGAAGGGAACTTCAAATTTTGCTTACGGATGGAGGAAGTGTTCAAAGAGCCAAGATCGAAGAACCGAGACCGATCGTTCAGGTAGTCCTCTTTGGGGTCTCCAAGCATTGTGCTGGACCATTCCCAACTGCTGAAGTGCTCGTTGTTGTCGAAGATAATGATCGACGAACTTAAGTCTTGACGACCCTTCGAGTTTGCCTCCTAGGCAATCTTCTTCACCTAAGCTCTTGTGTGCAGCGCGGATTTGACCGGTGATTGCATCTTTCAAGCACCGAAATTGTTTTGAGATGGTCTTTAATGCAAGAGATGTGTATGTTTTAGCAGAGCCAGTCCCGGCTGCTTGCTCAAATGATGAAGTTACAACCTGCATCTGGTGATGGTATTGTCGGTACCTTTGATCCACCTGCAGAAACAAAATTCCTGATCAATCAACCTTGAAATTCAATCTTAATAACTAGATTTGATTGATGTAATAACAAAAATTTCCCGGGAAAACAAACATACTTCTTATACACTTTCATTTTCAAGTTAGTTTCAAAAATCAAACCTTATATATGATATTATCTATAGTTTTCATACCTCGTCAAGCATGCTAATTAGCTTTGCTTTCTTCATCTGAATTTCCTGCCTCTCTGCCGTAGTCAGCTCGGCCCCGTGCTTAGCATCAGCTTCTCCGCCACCAGAGCCATCTCCTGCTGCTGCTGCTGCTGCCGCCACCGACGATTCTCCGATAGCCTTACTGGTATTGGTATTATCTCCACTACTCTTTTTAGCCAAATCGTTCTTGGTAATCTCGGTATTGTTAACAGTAACAACCTCATCGAGAAGCTCTTGAGCAGCCTTCAAGAATTTAGAGCTCAACAGCACACTTTGCACACCCGGAACTCCATTAGTCACCCCTGAACCCGAAGAACCCGACCCACACGAAACCCTCATGTCCTCACCCGAAGCCGCTTGAGCTTGTGATCCATAACCAGGATGTTGGGAAGAGAGGCTCAAGGAGAGCCCCTGCTGAGCGCGTGGGGTTTCACGCGAAGTGTCAATAGGGTTGTACATGTTGTAATGGATGCGCTGAACGAGGCCATGCAAGGGGGAGATTTCGTGGGAACCAGGGTCTTGATTGGCGGTAGAAGTAGACACCGGGAGGGGGATGCCGACGAATTGTTGGGCGTGGAGAGGTGGCGCGTGAGGGAAAACAAGGTTGTTTGGCAGCGGCGGAGGGGTGTTGGAGTACTGAACATAGTCAGGGTTCATAAGAACGAGGGTTTGGAGTCCGTCAGCTGCTTGGATTTCAGGGTTTCCATGAAAGTAGGTTGCCATCGGATGTTGTTCTGCGTTCTGCAACAAAATCTAGTGTTATTTTCTGTGCTTTCACTTCACTGAAAAGAAAAACAAAGACTAGAACATTAAATATATATATATATATATACAAATAAAATTCATTTATTATATCAATCAAAACCTTATTCCTTACTATAAATCAAGAGACTTGGAAGCAACCCATTTGAGAGATTGCTTGTTAGATGAATTGCAGCAAAAACAGGGACAAACTAAATGGAGATATTTATGGTCTTCGGATGATCAAGTGGATCCTGGAAAAGAAAAAAGAGTGATGAAGACCCCACAAACAAGTTCAAACACAAGTAACTGTGAAAAACAAGACACGTCTACTTGTCGTTGTGTGCTTCTTTCTAGTACTTGTTCATATGATCTAGAGCTTGAAGTCGACATGGGAATTGCAGAGGAAGGAAAGTGGGAAAGGGAGTACAAGGAAGAAAGTTATGGTGTTTATATAGAAATTCGAGTTGGAGGGGGGGGGGGATAAGAAAGAAGAGATTATAGATAATAATATTTGGTACCTGGTGTGATGTTAATCTGAGTGTGCACGTGCTTCAAGATCTTCTTCCCTGCAAAAGAATTAAAGAAAAACAAGGATTTTTTAGCTTACAAACGAAAAAAAAATCAAAAACTGAGAAAGAAAAGCAAATGTAATTGCAGCTAAAAATACCATAATTTGTGAGAAAGAGACTCTGAAAATGATCTATCTATGGAATTTATGAGCTTCACAATAGAGTGAGAGATGAAATTTCTTTCTGCAACTTCTCCACTGAAATGACAAAAAGAAAGAAAAAAGACAGAAAAATGATACCATTCTTTATTCACTTCATTTTCATTATCCACTTATTTATGCCAATTCTTCAACCTTTATTTATTTTCTCTTTTTAAGTTTTAAGAGGAAAATAATTGGGAGTGGTAAACTCAATTGAATTGTTCCTTTTTTTTCTTTGAAATTTAGCACTTATAATTTTTAAATAATTTTTATATATTTAGAAAACTAATCTCTAAATTCATACAAGCATTCAATAGAAACTTAAAAGCTGTCATCCCTGCACAGATACGAAACCTTTTACGATAATCTTTATTCAAATAATATTTTTTATTATTTAAAATATATATACCATTACCACATACTCCCTCTCTTTTCAACAGAAAATTGCCTTCAATATTAAAGTTGTAGTCTTTATTCCTTGAAGCAGCACAACAACTGAAGCCAAAGTCAAAATAAGAGCTTGTCATATTCTTACACGCATTCGGTTCTGTGTTGTGAACTGCCAAGATCAAGGAAGAAAATCTTGAAAGGAACCTACTGGATTTGAAGTGATAGTCACTGATGCAGTATTTGATTCGGAAAATGATTTTAAGATGGAATTGCAATATCTATTTATCAACTCAATACTTCAATGAAGGTTTTCTTAGATCCAAAAAAAAAACATCAGTACAAGCTAGATGTAATTCTATGAGTAGAAACGGAGACACGTTATCGATGGGAGGGGTCATGCTATTAATTATGATAGTTTAATATATTTTAAATTAGTGATAATTTTAAAATTATTACAATCAATTAATATATTCTTTGTAAAAAAATTAGTTTAATTACTTTTAGGATTTTGTCAGCTTTAAAATTAATAAAATTTAAGTTTTGAATTTAATTTTTTAATATACAAGTGTTTGATTTGAACCTCATGAATATATATATATATATATATATTGTAAAGGAGGTTTGTACGTTTTTATTAAAGAACTTCGTATAACATCATTAATTTTAAAAAATATCGTTAAAAAATCTCTTTAATCTAAATAAAAAAAATGCACTAAACCTGCGAATACAAACTTAAATGAAGAAAAAAAAGTACACAAATTCTCCCTAAACCTTATGAAAACATATTACGTCAATCGCGTTTTTCAATTAGTTTGAATTAAATATTTGTCCCTTCTAACTCAATGTGCCATATAGGCTAAAAGCACGCCTAATCGGACATGTCTTCCAAAAACATTGTTTGCTGAGTGCGTCTTTCGCTTACGTTCCACACCAAATGAAAAAATCGTATAATTTGTATAAATAATTTTTAAATCATATTTCATTAAATAGTTAAAAATGGTATTATTAGAGTAAAAAAATCATACTTTCCTTTCTTTCTCCATCATAATCTTTTATTTTAAGGTAAATTACGACGGTGGTTCGTTTTGATTTTATCCTCAGTTTTTAAAAAAATGTTTTGGTTACTTTTATTTTTTGTATTTTTTTAGTTACTAAATTGTTAACTCATTAGTTGGATGATGCGACAAGTAAGTAAGAATGATTAAATTTTAACTTGATCTCTAAATTTTAGATATAATGCTAATTTAACCCTTGAATTTTAGATATAATGCTAATTTCACCATAAATCCGATCAAAGCCCTCGTTGTGATCGCTGCTCATTACCATTGTTGGTCACCTTCAATTTTCATCACCAATCATCGTTAATATCTGTCATCAACCATTGTTGGACTCTAAAAATTTCCAATTCACTTCATTTTCTACCTCTAGAATGCGAATCTAATATTTGTTTCATAAAAAAAAATCTCGGACTTAATAAACCTAGTTTAGAACTCTTCAACTCCCTTTAAAATATCATAAATTTATCATTATATTCTTTTAAAATAAAGACATTGTCTAAATATATATTATAATACGTTTATATCATAATGATAATTATTTAATTTATATAATTTTTAGTAAATTGTATATTGTAATTATAATTTATATAAATTTATATTTTAATTTAATGAAGACACAAATTGCATTTAATATGCAACTTATCAAAATGTATATAAATTAAATTATTATCATTATAATATAAACACATTGTGATATAGATATAGGTTTTAGTTGTTATTTTTAAAGAAATATAATGAAATAATAGTTGAAGAAGACAATAGTCCACGATGACTGATGAGTGGCGACGATAGTGAATGGGGGCTTTGACCGAATTCATGGGTCAAATTAATTGATATTTTATTTAAAATTCAATGTTCATATTAATTGTAGACGCTCAATTTGTCCGGGGTGTTATTCGTGTTTAATCTGGTTTTATTATTGTTTTTATTGCAATTTCGGTTATTAGCATAAGTTTGGTATTTTGTAGGTATTAATATATATATATATATATATATATGCAAACAATTAAACAATTAAAAATGCACTAAAAATGGTCTTTGATTTTTACAGGCCCAAATTACAAAGGGTCATTTGATCCAATTCCAGCAACCCAACCCAAGACCCGTTTGGGGCCAGAACTGATCCAAGCCTAAGGGAAACCCTAAATTTTGATAAGGTTTCCCTAACCCTCTGGCGTTGCGCATCAAGAGTCGTTGGATTCAGGGAGATCCAACGGCATGCATGCTTTAGTCATTAGGGTTTTAGGACCCTTCAGTCGCCACCTTGAAGCGCAACCTTCGGATCTGGACCCATCCAACGGTCCAGATCACGTTCTGCTGCCAACCCATCTCGATCACTAAGTTGCCACCGCCGTTGGACCCAATTACGACGGTCGACCATCCCACGTGAACCTTAACAACCTGCAATATCAAGAGAACACGACAGAAGACTCAGAACCAAGTTTCAAGGCAGCAAAACCCAAGTCAACGAAGAAAAACTTGCAGTAGACTCACGGGATTTTGAAAGAGAAATCAGAAGACAAAAATATTGTAAAATCTGGTTCTATATAAACCAGAACCAAAATGTTGTAAAGGGAGACCCTCAGGTATTTTTCCAGGGAAGAAAAAGCAATAAATATCAAATATTTAAGAAAAAAAACCGAGAGTCATCAGCGAGGGGGAAGGACAGAACGAAAAAAACCAACAAGGGGAGGAGTGATCCTAAAATCGAAGATCAGCCATCAACAGAACAAAAAAGAGAAAAATACCCAGAAGATCGAGTTATCAGCGAACACAACCAGAGATAACAACGAATCCAAAAAAAAACGTTGGTAAACCGAAAACTTACTTACCTGATCTAAAGGCTCTCGTCGTCCCAGCTAGGAATCCCTACCCCGCTTGTGAGAAGGTAAATCCTTCATCTTTCGTGGTTTTCCAGTCGTGTACGTCCGTTTTAGACTCAGGTTTCAGGGATTTAGGGGGTTTCGGTCTAAGACTAGTGAATGTTTGGTTAGATAGAGAGGTGGTGGCCCTTCATCGGAGTCAGAACCGCGGTGGTTCCATGGTGTTTGGGTAAGTGAAATAAAATGGGTTTAAGGATAGTAAGGGTTTAGATTTGAGTTTTGGAGATGATTCTTTTGAGTGGGTTTGACCAGAGTCGATTTCTGGCCTTTAGGCTCCTCATCGGAGCCATTTGACGACGGAGGCCGCGGTGGCCTTCTGTCTCGTTTAGGGTTGAGAGACGGGAGAGCAGAGAGGATATGGGAGAGGCAGAGAACGGTTGAGGGGTGTTTAGGCTAAGGGTTAGAATGGGTTCAGGAGTTTACCCTAATATCCCATTTGTTATAACGCCAAAACGGCGTAGTTTCACGGAGGCATGAAACGGTAACGTTTAAGGCTAGGGAAGGAGAACCGGGTTTTAGGACGTTGGGCTAACAACAGAATAGGTCCTTCCTCTTTTGTTTCATTACATTTTGGTCCTTAAACCGAGCTTTATGGGAATTTTAATCTTACCTCCTGGTTTCCGGATTATTTTATTTTGGTCCCGTATCATGTTATGGCCATTTTCTTTCCGTTTTTTGCATTGGATATGTAATTTGAGGAGCTTTCAATTTGATCCTATGCAATATTTTGGTTATATTCTGTTTGCAGTACCCAGAAATGAAAATGTTATGAAAAGGTTGTTGTTATTTATTCTTTATGTTTTAGTCCTTTTAATATTTTATGCATGATTGTTAGGTTAATTTAGATTTATTTTAAAATATATGCATGTATATATTATTTTAAGCATGTTGTTCATACGCACGTAGGTGTAGTTTATTTTTATGAGCATGTTTGAATTCGTTCACTTTAATCGCATATTTAATTATTTTTTGCATTAACATCACTTTGTATAATTTTTGCATGATATCCTCATATGCATAACTTGACATTATTGCATAATCGGAATTAAGGGTAATGCCCTTTTAATCTAAAATTATCAGAATGGCTTTCCTTAACTTACAGGAAAGTTGTTTTGACGATTTTAAATTAAATGGTATCCCGTCAGTAACGCCTAATTAAATTTGGATATGTCATTGTAAAATTTGGGAGCGAAAGAAAAGGAAATATTCGACTATTTAAACTTTTCGAGAAAAGGTCGTTAGAACTGAACTAAAGATCCGGTCTCGATATTTTTAAATAATCGAATATTCTTTATCTTTCTAATGACTTGGTAATTTTAAATTAAATCTATTTGTTGCTTTGAATGTTGCAAATTGGCATGTTTGTCGTTTAAAGGGATCATTAATCAAATCAAATTTGAACTTGTGAAATTCGTCGCAAAGACATTAATTAATCGACTAGGTACCGATTTAGGGCGTTGTGGGGGTGCTAATCCTTCCCCACACGTAACCGACTCCCGAACTTGGATTTTGGTGACGTAGACCGTAAATTTGTCGTTTTAATTAAAATTAATTTTTATTAAAAATGACAACGTTGTTGGGTGCCCAATCACACCCTAATTAAAGATTGGTGGCGACTCCTCGAACCTTATGTTTTTATCGTAAAGGAATTTCCAAATTTTCGAAACGAGAGGTTTTTTTTAAAAATCACATTGTTTTTAATTAAAAGTTCAATTGAAAAGAGAATAATTAAAAATGACGCGGTTTTTCAAAATCTCGCCCCCCCGCACCGCG